GCCGCGACCAGCCGAATCCCCAGCTGCGAGACGCCCCGAGCGCCGCTCCTTCCCCGGCCCTCGGCCGCGGGATACTCACCGCCCGCGGCCGGCGGGGCTGCGGCCTCACTGGGCTCCCGGCCCGGATCCCCGAAATTGCTGCTCTGCTCGCAGCCGACTGAGCGGCGGGGCGTGGGGATCTGCTGCGATGTCGCGGATCATCCTGGAGATGCGGTGCCCGCGGCTCGGCTCCCCGCCGGGTTCCGCGCGCTCCGCGCGGGGCTCCCGGCTACTCCGCCGCTCCCTGCCAGGCCGGGCGCGCGGCTTGTGGGGCCTAAAGCCCGACGCCTCGGTCCGGGTGGCCTTAAAAAGGGTGCGTTTGGAGGTGCCGGCACCTAACCTGGGCTGCCTTCCAATCGGTACAATTTCAGATCTTCAGGCTTGTTCATTCCTATACCGGCTAATTCTGGTTTGGCAGGAAAAAAAAATGCAGTCACCTCACATGCACACTCTTGTGGCCGGTTGAAGTTTATCGCCTTGGCTGAGGCTCTGCCAATGCTCTGCACATTCATAACTGGAGGAAAGGGCCGGAAACCCAATCCAGGAGGCAGGTGAGAATAGCAGTGTCTCCCCTTTCTCTGAGATAGACCCTCACCCCAGTCTGGGCCACAAAATATAGCAGTCTGCAGGGCGAAGAAAAGGCGAGCAGAGCCTGCAATGTTCTTGGCCAAAGAGGACTCCAAGTCCCTCATTCTTGTTTTGTTTTTGTTTGCTTGAGTCGGAGTCTCACTCTGTGCCCAGGCTGGAGTGCGGTGGCACGCTCACGGCCACCGCAGCCTCGACCAGCTGGACTCAGGAGATCCTTCCGCCTCTGCCTTCCCAGTCGCTGGAACTACAGACGCACGCCACAACACCCAGCTAATATTTTGATTTGTTGTAGAGACGAGGTCTCTCCAAGTTGCCCGGGCTGGTCTCGAACCCCCAGGCTCAGGCAATCCTCTGGCCTCCGCCTCCCAAAGTGCTGGGATGACAGGCGTGAGCCACCGCGCCCGGAGTACCAAGTCCCTCATTCTTTATCCCAGTTTGAGTACCACCTTTACCTGCTCCTTCTGCGCTATCTATTGTCTGTTACCTACCTTCGTGGCCCCAGACACAAATTTCATCTCAATGAGTTCGCATCCTGTTCCCAGCAGGGCACACAATACAGTGTTTTGTCTTCGGAAAGCTTTCCATATTTGTCAAGTGAATATGTGAATCAATGAAGTCAGTGCTATTTTACCCCACCTGAAAGATTTCCTGGTCATTTTCCACTGCTGTTGCAATAAATTTGTCACAAACGTTGCAACGGAAAACAACACAAATTCATTATGTTTCCGTTCTGGAGGCCACAAGTTTGAAATGGGTCACACTGGGCTAAAATCCGTGTTGGCACCTTGGAGGCTGTGTTCCTTCTGGCCGCTCTAGGGAAGAGCCACCAGCTTCTGGAGGCTGCCCGGGTTCCTTGGCTGGCGGCCACTTTCTCCATCTTCAAAGCCAGCAATGTTCCGGCATTCTGTGCCTCCTCCCATAAACACACAGCCTTCTGTCTCCTCTATTCTGCTTCCCTCGTCCACTTTTAAGGACCCTTGGGATTACATTAGGGTTACCTAGATAATCCAGATAATCTCCCTGCTTTAAGGTCAGCTGATTAGCAACCTCAATTCCATCTGCAACCTTAATTCCCCTTTTGCCAGGTAACATATTCACAGGTTTCATGGAGTAAGATGTGGACATCTTTGGGGAACGGTTATTCTTCACACCACAGATTCATCCCTCCCTTTGTCCCTTCCTCCCTCCTTCCTGGCCTTCCTGCCTTCTTTCCTTTTTCTTTGCAAAAAAACACTTTTTTCCACAAATATTGCACATTGCCATTTCTTATATCAACTCTTGATTAAAAAATCATTGAGAACATTGTGAGAAATTTGGCTAACTGAAAGCATTTTGCTGAGGTGCTAGGTATAAGTGGTCTAAATGTCTTACTTTTGCTGATGAGAACATGAGCTAATGAATGGTCAGTATTCCCTTGGGGTGTCCTCAGATCTCACTCATTTCAAGCAGGCTTTTGACAGCAAGTCGGGATTGGGGGTCCTGTTAAGCTCAAGTACAGATGATCCATCGTGTTTGAAAAGAGGTCTGTAAGATTTTCAAGTCTATTTTTTCCCCCTAAAACCTTACACATGGCCAGGAGCAGTGGCTTATATATGTAATCCAGGCACTTTGAGAGGCCGAAGTGGGACGATTGCTTGAGCCCAGGAGTTCAAGACCAGCCAGGGCACCATAGTGAGGACCCCCATTTCTGAAATAAAATTTTTGTAAAATAAAATCTTTATAGAAATAAAAAGATAAAATCTTGCTGATTTGTTGAGGTGTGGTTGATGTAGTATGAACTGTACATTTTCAGGTGTACAACTGGATGAGTTTTCATGTGTCTGTGGAACCTTAATTAAATGACTCCAAAGTTTTCCTTGGGCCCCTTTGTAGTCCAGTCCTCATCCTGCCTCCATATTCCCAGGCAGTCTTATAATCTGCTCTCTGAGAAGCTTCCACTTTGAACCATGAAGGTTTTTCTGCTGAACTGTTTTGATCATACAAGCATTGTTGCTTATTACTTGTTTGGCAGCCTCTCATTGACATGGGTGGGTTGAGGGTAGGTTCAAGGTAAAGGGTCCTACCTGCAATTTATGGGCTTATATGTGTGGGTTAAATGAATAGATATCCACTATCAATTAGCATGTAAAAGACAAGCACTAAACCCTTTTCATGTATTTGAAGTAGAGGAGCCTAATGTTATCTCTTGATTTTTAGACAAATTACATATTTATCTCACAACAGCAATCTTACCTTTAATTGAATTGTATTAGGTAAAAACTTTGCCCCTTAAGAAGGTAAAATGATTCAAGTGCTGTCTCTAAAACCCTTCTCTCTTAGTTTAATCATGTACTCAGGTGATTTCATAACCACATTGGAGCTGGGGTGGAAGTAATAATTTGGACTATCTGTGCCTTAATTATGGTGGTTTAATGGTGCAGATTAGGCACAGAGTAGGATAAAATCAGCTTTTGAGGAGGTTGCTAGCACAGAACACTGAAGGGTTTCGAGAAATGTCCTTAAAGTGTCATTATAACTGTCATATTTTTGTAGACAGTACAGCTATGAAGATGACCTGAAACCCACATGGTCCTCCAGAGCCACCCTCTGTCACTCTCTCAGTGTAGAAAGGAGCCCTCCTCCCCACCCCTCTGAGTTTAATGCAGGGTGACCAAAGACTAGAATCTAGAACCCATGTCTGAAATGCCAGTATGCTCAGAAACCACAGGGTAAACTACATTACACAGCCAGGCAAAGCTGTAAGAAGAAGGAAGAAAAAGCTTTGTCTTACACGGGACCGGAAACCCAGGGCTGTGACAAAATCTCTTGCCATCACTTGGCTTGTAGGATCAGTCTGTGTACACCCAGCAGTGTGCCTGGATTTATCTTTCTTGAAATGCTTATATCAGGACAGGCGAGTTGGCTCACACCTGTAATCCCAACATTTTGGGAGGCAGAGAGGCAGAGGCGAGATGATTGCTTAAATCCATGGGTTCGAGACCAGCTTGAGCAACAAGGCAAGACCTTGGCTCTACAATAAAATGAAAAAATTAGCCAGGCATGGTGGCACATGCCTGTAGTTCCAGCTACTTGGAAGACTGAGGTAGAAGGATCACCTGAGTCCAGCAGGTCAAGGCTGCGATGGCCATGAGTGTGCCACTGCACTCCAGCCTGGGTGACAGAGTGAGACTCTGACTCAAAATAAATAAACACATAAATAAATAATAAAAGTGAAATTTAAAAAAATTCTTATGTCAGGTGGGGACCCTGGTTATGTCTGGTCTTTGGCAAGCATCTTTAGTCTTTGCCTGCTACCAAACCAGCTTCCAGGGTTTCAGACTTTAGCAAGGCTTGGGAGGCAGAAGGAGGCTGGAGGTCTTATAGCTGTCTGGAGGCTCATGACAACCGCCACACTGGGACAACATTGGTGCTCCATAAATGTATTTTCAGACTTCAGTGAGGCCTCATTTTTATGCTTTATCCATGAATCACATATGCTAGTAGTTACTCTTCAGCTATTCATTTATTCTTTCCTTCTACACAAATTTGCTGAGTGTCCATTATGTGCTTTTATGAAGTGCTAGGGATACAGCAAAGGGCAAAACCAATAAAAGTGTTTTCCCTAATTGAACTTATGTTCCAGTGAGTGAATGACAGATGATAAACAAGACAAATAAGATATATGTATGTGTATAGATATATGATATCTATATATCTAAGATATATATGGCTAACTATATATCCAACTGTATATATCTACACTATATGCATTTAAATATATATATATATAGTCAGATAGTAATAAGTGCTAAGAAAAAAAGCTAAACAAGGACAAGAAATTTGAAGGATTATGATGGTGAGAAATCTTAGATGAGAGAGAAAGCTTCAACAAGAATGTGTTAGCCGGGCTCGGTGGCTCAGCCTGTAATCCCAGTGCTTTGGGAGGCTGAGGTGAGTGGATTGCCTGAGCCCGCGGGTTCAAAACCTGCCTGAGCAACTTGGCAAGAGCTCATCTCTACAGTAAATAAAAAATTAGCCAGACGTGGTAGCGCACGCCTGTAATTCCAACTACCTGGAAGGCTGAGGCAGAAGGATCACCAGAGCCCAGCAGGTTGAGGCTGCAGTGGCTGGGAGCGTGCCCCTGCACTCCAGTTTGGGTGACAGAGTTGAGACTCCAACTCAAAAAGACATGTGATATCTGCAGAAAGTGCAGGAAGGAGCCATGAGTGTATCAGCAGGAAGCTTATTCTAGCAGAGGAAATAGCAGGTGCAAAGGTTCTGAGGCAGAGGAAAGTGCCTGAAGCCTTGAAAATCATAGAAAAAAACTGGCATTTATTCAGAGACAAGAAGCCATTGGAGAGTTGAGAAGAGGAGTGACATGAGGATAGTGACATTTACCAAGATTCCTCCGGTTGCTAGATTGAGAAGGGATTGTGGGAGAACAGGGAAGAAGCAGAAAAACCAGTTAGAAGATGATTGCAATAATCCAAGGGAAAGACAATGGTTACTTGGACCATACAGGTTGCAATGACAATAGTGAAAAGGGATTGAATTCTGAAAATACTTTGTAGGCAGAGTTGCAGGATTTGTTTAAGAATTAATGTGGGGGCCGGGTATGGTGGCTTACACCTATAATCCCACACTTTGAGATGCCAAGGTGAGAGAATTGCCTGAGGCCACGGGTTTGAGACCAGCCTGGGCAACTTGGCAAGACCTCATTTATACAATCAATCAAAAAATTAGCCAGGCACAGTGGTGTGTGCCTGTAGTTCCAGCTACTAGGAAGGCTGAGGCGGAAGGATCACCTGAGCTCAGCAGGTCGAGGCTATGGTGGCTGTGAGCGTGCCACTGCACTCCATCCTGGGTGACAGAGTGAGATTCCAACTCAAAAAAAGAAAAGAAAAGAAAGGAATAAA